TGAGTATAAGGGACACTGCCTGCTGGACGCGTGCCGCAAATGCGATTTGTCGCGCGTCAAGAAACTCGTTTGTGCCGAAATCGTGAACTTCGTGCATCCGTACACGGGAGACACGCCGTTGCATCTGGCCGCCGTTTGTCAGGATGCGAAACGCAAGCAGCTGGTGGAGCTGCTCATACGTAAGGGATCGCTGCTCAATGAGAAGAACAAGGCGTTCCTCACGCCGCTGCATCTGGCCTCGGAGCTGATGCACTACGATGCGATGGAAGCGCTGCTAAAGCAGGGCGCCAAGGTAAACGCCCTGGATAGCCTTGGCCAGACGTCGCTGCATCGTTGTGCACGCGACGAGCAGGCCGTGCGCCTGCTTCTCTCCTATGCGGTGGACACCAACATTGTGTCGCTGGAGGGTCTGACAGCGGCACAGCTGGCCTCGGATAGCGTGCTGAAGCTGTTGAAGAATCCCCCAGACAGCGAGTCCAATCTGCTGGAGGCAGCCAAGGCTGGCGACTTGGATGCAGTGCGTCGGATTGTGCTAAACAATCCACATACGGTCAACTGCAGGGATCTGGATGGACGCCACTCAACCCCGCTGCATTTTGCCGCCGGCTTCAATCGGGTGCCAGTCGTGCAATTCCTGCTGGAGCATGGCGCCGAGGTCCATGCGGCAGACAAAGGTGGACTCGTTCCGCTGCACAATGCCTGCTCGTATGGCCACTACGAAGTCACCGAGCTGCTCGTCAAGCACGGCGCCAATGTCAATGTCTCCGATTTGTGGAAGTTTACGCCACTGCACGAGGCGGCCGCCAAGGGCAAGTACGATATATGCAAGCTGCTGCTGAAACACGGCGCAGATCCGATGAAAAAGAATCGCGATGGGGCCACACCTGCTGATCTCGTTAAGGACTCGGATCACGACGTGGCCGAGCTGCTGCGCGGTCCCTCGGCGCTGCTGGATGCGGCCAAAAAGGGGAATCTGGCGCGAGTGCAGCGCCTCGTCACGCCGGAGACGATCAATTGCCGGGATTTGAATGGACGGAACTCGACGCCGCTGCATCTGGCCGCGGGCTACAACAATTTCGAGTGCGCCGAGTATCTGCTGGAGCATGGCGCCGATGTCAATGCCCAGGACAAGGGCGGACTCATACCCCTACACAACGCCAGCTCCTATGGGCACTTGGATATTGCTGCGCTGCTCATCAAGCACAAGACGGTGGTGAATGCCACGGACAAATGGGGCTTTACGCCGCTGCACGAGGCCGCGCAGAAGGGACGCACGCAGCTCTGCTCCTTGCTGTTGGCCCATGGCGCCGATGCGTATATGAAGAACCAGGAGGGACAAACTCCCATAGAGCTGGCCACAGCCGACGATGTCAAATGTCTGCTGCAGGATGCCATGGCCACATCGCTCAGCCAGCATGCGCTCAATGCCTCCACGCAATCCCTGGCGAGCACCCTACCGGCGCAGGATGGGGCCGCAGGTGCCAACTCAGCTGCAGCTGCATCGGCTACCATGCCGTGCGCTGGAGGTGCATCGGGATCTGCGTCTGCCTTGCTCGCACCCACCACGGAGACAGTTCTACTGCCCTCGGGCGCATCCATGACGCTCAGTGTGCCAGTGCCGTTGCCTTTGAATAGCTGTGCGACTCGTCTCAGTCCAGCACAAGGCGCTGAAGCGCATGGCGCGGAGAGCTCCAGCAGTGAGGAACTCTTGTCCGATCCGGAGTCGATAACGAATGTGTCCAGTTTCTTGAGCAGCCAGCAGCTGCATCATCTGATCGAGCTGTTCGAGCGGGAGCAAATCACGCTGGATATACTGGCCGAAATGGGTCATGATGATCTCAAGCAAGTGGGCGTGTCCGCCTACGGTTTCCGACACAAGATACTCAAGGGCATCGCCCAGCTGCGTGCCACCACGGGTAAGTAGCTCAGATCCCCCTCAAGCTCTTGTTGCTCAAGTGTAAACTCTTGACAGGCATTGGCAACAATGTTAATCTGTGCACGCTGCTGGTGGATCTATTGCCGGATGACAAGGAGTTTGTCGCCGTCGAGGAGGAGATGCAGGCCACCATACGCGAGCATCGGGATAATGGACAAGCTGGCGGTTATTTCGTGCGCTATCACATAGTTAGGGTATGTCTCAGTCAACTTAAGTCTCAATAGCTTCTAGTAATCTCAATTCTCAATTTTGTAGGTGCAAAAGGTGCAGAACCGTAAGTTGTGGGAACGTTATGCGCATCGACGCCAGGAGATTGCCGAGGAGAACTTTCTGCAGTCCAATGAGCGCATGCTCTTCCACGGCAGCCCCTTCATCAATGCCATTGTGCAGCGGGGCTTCGATGAGCGACACGCCTACATTGGCGGCATGTTTGGTGCAGGCATTTATTTCGCCGAGCATAGCTCGAAGAGCAATCAATATGTGTATGGCATAGGCGGCGGCATTGGCTGTCCAGCGCACAAGGACAAGTCCTGCTATGTGTGTCCCAGGTAATGCCTAAACAAAAATCATTTGAGAATCTCTCGCTTACAAAATTCCAATTATTCTTTCAGACAACTGCTGCTATGTCGAGTTGCATTGGGCAAATCGTTTTTGCAATACAGCGCCATGAAGATGGCACACGCACCGCCCGGCCATCATTCGGTGGTTGGGCGGCCGTCGACAGGCGGCCTACACTTTGCTGAATACGTTGTCTATCGTGGCGAACAAGTGAGCATTAGATGAGTTGAAATTGTCTATATATGTTTTACTAACTGTTTGTACTTTGCAGTCTTATCCAGAGTACTTGATAACCTATCAAATTGTGAAGCCCGATGATAGCGGTGTGGAGGAAACAAGATGATGGATGCCCTCGGTTGGCTCGACGCCCACAACAACCTTGCCAGCATTGGCAATAGCGCAACCGCAGCAACCGCAACAGACCTCAGCCACAGTGAAAGCCACAGCCACAGCCACAGCCACAGCCACAGCCACAGTCGCAGTTAAAGCTCCAGTTCCAGTTCCAGTTCCAGCTCCAGCTCCAGTTGCCAAGCGGCGGCATAAGCTCGCCCAGAAATATCAACAGCCAGTTCCCCGTTTGCCGTTGTCCTTGCAGTTGCAGTATCATCACTATCAGCCGCAGCAGATGCACCAGCTGCCGCAACCGCAAACGATGGTGACCACCAAGCAGCCGGCACCGGCAGGAGTTTTTAACACGCACAACAACAACATCAATCATAGCTATAGCAATAATAATGATAACAACAATGGCAGCAGCGGCGGCGGGGGCAGTAATAGTAATAACAACAACAATGATATGTCACCAATGTCGAATAGCAACAGCTACTCTTCGGTTGATACGAATCAAACGCTATTGAACTCCATTTCCAATCAACGCAGTGCTGGCACCAGTCAGAGCCACAGCCAACATCGTCCGGCGCCGAGCCACAACCGAAAATATAGTCAATTCATGATCATCACGCCCGCCGTTTCCATAGATCGCGATTTCGAGAAGGATTCACATTTGGATTTCGAAGACTTCGCCAATGCGGCGCACAACAACGGCAATCTGTTCCGTTTGGGTTTGCGGCGCAGCGACAGCAGCAGCGGCGACGACAGCGGCAACAGCAGCGACAACAGCTTTCGCTCCAACTATAATCCATATGTGCATCACAGTCGCCAGCCCTTGCTGGCCAAGAAGGGCCAAAACAGTAATGGATCACATCAGTTTTACGCCTTTCCCAGCTGGCGCTGGTGCACCCTGCTGTGCGCGGCAATGCGCTGCTTTGGCGCCGGCCCAGGCAGCCAGGCGCCCTACAGCAGCTCCTTCGTACCACATCATCGCTTGCGTCGCTGCAGCTCTTACAATGCGGACATTGCCTACGATTATGAGCATTTTGCAGCGCCGTTCAAGGCGCGTAAGACTCGCGATCATATGAATAATATTACGTATGAGTTGTGACGTTGGCCGCTGCCAATAATCGTTAATATGCATTTTGATCTCTTTGTCGCCGTTGTATTTGTTGATCTAATCCTAAACTTTCAGCTCCTTATTAGACTTTATTACAAATTATCATTATTAGCTATGAATGTCGTGTACTGTGTGTCGTCGTTTATTCCAGCTACAATTCCGATTATCAAATGAAATCAACAAGATCAAGTAAAACAAAAAGAAAAAAAAAAGAGCAGCACATTTTTTGAGTGATTTTAATTCGAACTTACGAGTAATTAATAATACTATATACAAATTACAATTATTCGAAAGAAAAACATACGAAAGCGAATATGCATCATGAAAGCGCGTTTACTTAAGTATTTAAATTTAGCTAATTAATTTAAAAAACAATGACAACAATTCAAACTCCAATTAAATTTAAATATACAATATATATACAAAATAAAACGACGGCCTTTATTTTTTTTAATATTAGCATTAGAAAGTTCCGCCCAGAAAGCTTATAGCAGTGAGCTTTGAGTAAGGCTGCCAAATTCTTGGAAAAAAAATTTGTTTCTATAGTCCATTTCAAATTCTAAGTTTGAATTAGGTGGTTAGTTTAGAAAAATATATCAAAATGATAAACTCTTTCAAAATACTAATAGATAACTTAAATTTCTATTTTTAACATTGTGTAATAACGTAGCAGCGAGCTTAAAATGGGGTTGAGCACATAACGTTGGCAACTCATGCAGCATAGCTGCCATAGCTAATTGCTACGTCACTCTATTTGGCTGTTGCCTGCGCTGCAGTTGGCGTAATTTGCAACTGTCAAACCGCTGTCAAGTTTAAGTGCGCCCACAAAAATGTTTCAAGCTGGCGAGCGAAGTTTTTTTTAAAGAATAATGATGATGAATACTAAAATACGCAAATATCTTTCTTTTGGCCACGCACACATAATCACATTTCACTGTCAAAATGCGGCACTTAATGTTCGTTTTTCACTCTTCTTTCTTATTCTTTTTGTTCTTGTTTTCTTTTTATTTTTTTGGTAACATATGCAAGTAATTTGATTAAATTATATAATTACAGGGCAACAGGCAGCAGAGAGGCGGCTGCCTGACCAGATGAGACACACACAGACGTTGTTTGCGACACTCACTGCAGGCCGGGACTAGTGCAATTTGTATTTTCGCATAACAACAAATAAGCACCAGGCACGACCTACATCAGGTGACGTTTTAATGTTGCACAGCACTTAAAACACACACACACATACACGCAGAGATGGCTGCTACACACATTCCCATAATAATATCAATAAGCCAAACGGGTCGTCAGCCTGCCCAGCCATTACAGCGTTCCATTGCGTGGCTGTAATTTAATTAAAATATAGACACATTAATAATCAAGTGCAGGCAAATGATATGCCTACGGCATTAGGCACAAATTGGCGTCAAATTTACGTTAGCTGCAGCATAGGCACACATCTCGAACACGGGCATATATATATACGCGAACATATATATACACACATACTAAAAACTATTAGTTGTTGGTTTTATTCAATTTGGCGTATATATTACATATATAAAATATATAATATATAAGTATATATACATATAGGAGGATATAGTCCATAATAAGGTTATAAAATTAGTTTAAACTACATTTGTATTTCTTTTGGTTTGCCTTAATCTCCATTAGATCCCCAAACTAATCTTCGTCCGTGCTGCTAACTTCCACGGACTTAGTGTTCTGCTGAAGTCTTTGGTCATTCTCAAGGGACGCTTGGACTAATTCCAGTGTAAATTTTTCGATCAGTCGCATGGACACTGGTTGAGGCAGCTCATTGAGCAAATGCGAAACGAACTCGCCAAAGGCTCGAAATTTTGGATATGTGGTTTTTGCAGCTGTTATTTTCGATTTGGCAGCCGGTGCCGGTGTCGGTGCCATAGTGGCCGTAGCCGTTGCTGCTGCAGTTGCTTGACCTTCTTCCATACGTCGTTTGGCTGGTGGCGCGTCCTCTTCTAATGTTAGCGGCGAACGCTTCGGCTTGGCCACGCGCAACAGCTGCTCCGGCTGGCGACAATTGGTCAATTGGTGCTGAACTGCTTTGTCATTGAGTAGGTTGCTATTGCCATTGCAGCTGTTGTTGCTGATGCCATTTATGGGCGTGCTGCTGGCTGGTATGCTGCAATACGTATATATATAATAAATATTAATATCATAGTCGTAGTTCAGTGCTGATCTAACCTGAGCATCGTGGTCACTGGCAACTGGCCATCGCAGTCAAAATCCTCGATCTCTTCATAGTCGGCATCCAGCTCATGCTTGATGCTTTTGGGTAGCTCATTGCTTTCGCTGTTAACATCGTCCACATCAAAGGGTTCCTCATCGTCCTCATCATCTGCATGGCCATCCAGCGATTTGCTTTGTGTCTTATACGATCGCCTGGTGCGTATGTGGTCTGAGAGAAAACTTAGATTCTCATACAAGGGCCATTGGCTAGCTGAATTGGAAAGAGAATTGTTTTCCACGCGTCGCTTCTCGATATTATAGCGATTACGCAGCGTAATCATACGATCGCGCAATATGGAAACTATATGGAAAATAATTTATAATTATTTACAAGTGTACAAATTCAAAAGAACTTACCGTCATAGCCAAGCTTATGAGATATTTGCATCCAGAGCTGTGCAGTGTGTATCTTATCTTTGAAGCGCTTATTTGATCGATCATAAAGCGCTGGGCGCGAACGATATTCACGTATCAGACCCAAATCGAACTCCCCGGTCTGTGCGTAGGAAGCGCGTGGGCGACCTCGACCCTTGGGCTGATGGATTGGCTGCGAAATGATATGCGACTGCATCAGCAGCGGGGACGCGGCTACTTCCATTTTCACGGTCAGTTCCGGCTGCGCTATCATGTTTATTGAATACAGATTTAAAAATAAAGTGTTTTTTTTTTATTATTAAAATATTTTCGATTGAGTTTAACACGCTGGTCGCGAGCGTTAAACGCGACACATAAAAAACAACTCAAAAGGAAAATGAAATAACAAAACTCAAGAAAAAAAATATGAAAAAATTTATAAATAAAAAAATATTTAGACGGTTTATAGCACACTATTTCTGAGAGTTCATGAGAAAACTAAGATATGTATGTTTGTATGTACATATGTATGTGTATTAAATATGTTTACAAATACGTAGTTGCTCTCTTGGGTAAAACTTACTTTTGATTTGTATGTGTAATTTATTTTCCTTTTAACTCAATTTGTTTTTATATTTAACACACAGCGACAGCGAAAGCAACAACAATAAAAATAACGAAGGCACACACAACAGGCGGGCGAGCGCGATTGCTCGGCTTGTTGTTTTTTTTTTTTTAATTTTATTTTAATTTTTTTTTATTTGACTAGAAGCGACAACGACGACGCCGACGCCAATCGCGAAAATGTACTAAATGCGCGTCCAAAACAAATCCCGCAAAAAATACCAAATTTAAATACTCAACAGCTGATGATCCGGCGCTGTATTTAAATTTTATGCACGCCGCTCTTTGAATATAAACTGAAAAAAATCAAGTTTTCAAGAGTTACATTATATATTATTTTGTTAATAATACTCTTGTTAAATAAAAGTATTGTTTCCGCACTAATCAAGTGTATTAAAATTAAAAAGCTTTATTAAATAATGTACTAGTGCTCAAGAAGCAAAATTATGTAAATGTAAACTTTATTTTAAGTGAATAAATTTGGTCATCGGCTTGATTATTGCATTAAAACTCACCAAAGTTTTCATGATAAAAAGGCACAACTGTACACAGTTGTTTCACAGCTTTTAAAACTGAAATGGCACGAAAAACAGAAATTATGAAGCTCGTCTCTTCAGATTTAACAAAAAAAAAATGTTAGATTTTTAAACTTGTAAATATTTTACACGATTAATATAACTTAACATACTAAGTTATATATACATATTTTATATTTAAACTTAAGGCTTGTTTAGTTGTGAAAAAAGTACATAAATAAGTGTTTATACATACTCTACTCTATTGGAGCTGTTGGTTGTAAGATAAACCGCTCATAGGCCGGGACAAGTGCAATGTTTGAATCAAAAGGTAAAACGTTGACACCTTCCCGTCCTGCAAGCAATTTATGAATTGGGTATTGCAGTTCTGATATACTTTTTTCTTTAATATACGAGCATACGTATAGAATTTTAAATATAGAGTTTCACGAGTGCCCCCAAACATAAGAAGCGAATTACAATATAATTATGTTCGCTCTGAAAAAGAAAATTAAAAACAGGTAGACAAAAGCAGATCAGTTCCTAAAATCTCATATTTCAATAACAAGAAAATAAAAAAAAAAAAACGTTTAATATTAAATTTCCGCTCCTACTTGAACAGAAGAACTCTACTCCCCCGGCTTCTTGGTTTTAGAACATCTTTGTGCGGGCGAGAGAACAATGGATCGGAGGCCAAGGATCAGAGAGCTGAGTTCTGCCCATGAGAGCGAAACTAAAGTACCTTTGGCCTAGCAGGTAAAATTAAACGCTGCAAATCAAGCGTTAAATGCCATTTACTTACGCCTCAAGGAATTTAAGCTATATAAGATGTTATAGTATATAAATATGTACATATGTAGATACGTACATACATATTTATGTGTGCATATGTGTGTATATGGTCTATATTCTAGGGATTCATGCGGTGATGTTGGGTCCATTAACAGTTGGCTAACATCGACAGATTTTGAAATCCAAAGCGTGACAAAATTCGTAGAAAAACTCTGGAGCCTTCAAAGAGCGGGCAATTATGAACTGAGCGGAATTGCCACAGCAGCAGAAACGAAAATCAAAGTTTTCAGATCACTTACATATGAACATACATATGTATATATGTACATATACACATGCATATATATACATATGCAAAAGTGGTTGAGAGCTTAAGATGGTGCTGCGACAATTTTATTCCTCTCCTGTTTTTTGTGGCTCTCAGCGTATTTCTATGTGGCTTATCTTTGGCGTAAAAAAAATGGGGGGAGCTCAGAGCTGGCTCGCGCATATTTGTTTATATGATCGCAGTCGAGCACTAGCTTTAAGTTTAATGACATACACACACATACATACACATATATAAACTTAGGGAACTTATCCCCTCTGAAGACGACAAAAAAAAAAACGAAACAACGCTGCAATAAATTTATATTTATTTATTTTTCTTAGGCAAATACGCCCCCAACAACCCAGCAACATGAACGAGAGCTCCAAGCTGCTCGAATTCGTGCTCAAGACTTAGGCTGCCCCATTGAGCAATTGTAAGGCAGCCGGCCCAGAACGACCACTAATATCGGAGAGCGGAAACGCAAATAGACGCGCGATAAAAAAGAATAAGAGAATGAGAGATTGAGGGATTGAGCGGGAAGGGGAAAAACAGAACGCCACATAAATTTCAAATAACTAATAATTCATTGAAAAGGCTGGCAATGCGGATCATGTAATAATATTTGCTTAAGCAAACAGCTGACAAGACTTTAACAACGACGCGAAAACTGGGGTCGACGTTATGAGGCAGGCCAACATGGAGCATGCAATACACAATCAGTGCTGGTAGCTCTAGCTCTTTTCTTACAAAAAGAAATAGCTAAATAGCATAAATATCCTTCTAATCTACCAGCTAAAACTAGTCAAACTTTCGTACACTCAAAATTTGCCAACACTGTGAAGTCAACCCACCACAGTCTAAAGCGTGAATGTGTGAGCGCAGCAAACAGTTCGCCTACGATCCCATGGAGAGTGGCAAAGGTGTGAGAGGGAAAGAGGGAGCGGAAGAGCGTGAGCAGAGTGTGAATGAGTTGCCAACTTCCACACAAAGCAACCAGTGTTGCCAACAAAATGCCATTACGCTGTATCTCAAAGAGCAGCAGAAACGAAGTTAGAAATTACATATAAAGTTCTTGTATAACTTTTTTGAAGTTTTTAGAGCGGATATTATTTTAGAATTTCAAAATACCCAATCCATTTTAATAATTTGCATATGATCGAACACATTAATTTATATATTAATTTAATTTATATTATTTATTTCAGACATTTTCAATGGAATTCATTCAGCACGTTTTTATACCCTGAACCCATTGAAAATGGGAAATCAGGGTATAATGGTTTTGT